AAATCAGCCCGAATAAAATGCGCCTTATATTACATAAAAAATATTACAACATAAATCACACACACACACACACACGCACACACACGTGCACACTTGGGGTGCTGTATTAAAAATAATATCGTCGTCTGGCCGACAAAGATAAGGAAATTTATCCAAAGGATTGCGTGGTGTTATGGCCACCGCCGAGCCAAGTCACTCACCAGCTCAGACAGTTGGGCAGCTAACATCCACCCTCTACCCTCCTGCCGTCCGAGTCAACATCCTGCCCCAACCCCTGGCAGCTTTGTAACCACAAGGACAAGGCCAAAACTGACAACAGCCCAACCCAATCCAACTCAGCCCAACACACACACGCACACATTTTATGACCAGTTCAAGTCGAAGGCATCGCCATCATCATCATCATCATCATCCTTGTGATGGCAAGACAGGAGCCGCACAGGCCCTGGCCAGGAGCTCAGGACTTAGGCCGCTGGCTGTTTGCCTGCGTCGCTGTGTTCTCTGATCTGTGGCCAGCGATAAGCCGCATTTTTATATGCTGAACCCATTAAAAGTGTGCAAAAAGGGTATAATGTTTTTTAAATTTCAATTATAAAAACAGCAGAAATGTATCGATTTTTAAAATAACGATAAATATCGATTTTAAGACAAAGGTTTTTATATGTGTAATATGGGTATAATGTGTGTGGAATTTCGAATATATAAACCATACTCAACAGGAATTTGTCGATTTTTAAAAATCGATAAATATCGATTACTAAAAAAGCAAGGTAAGAGGAAGCACACCTGTTGCAGTTCGCGTTTTGTGTATATTAGTGAGTCCTTCTCGTTGAGCGGAGGGTATCTGCTAGTCGCGCAGTGCCGACAAGAGCTCACACTTTTTGTTGTTTGTTAAAGCGAGCGAATAAATTTCATAAATGCCCGCGCGACAGTAAAAGGATTACGAGGCCAAGTGCCTGCTAACCCCTACCTCATACCCTTAATTTGAGCGTGTGTGCGTGTGTGTGTGTGTGTCAATATTTGGGCACATGTGCAGCATGCTTGGGTAATTTATTGTTAAAAACTCAAGTAAATTTTATTTGCCACCCCCTCAAGAAATGGGCGTCAGCCAAAAAAGAACGCAAAATAGAACGCGAAGCGAGAGCTTGGGGCCTGATGAAGATTTGATACCCTCATAACTCATTTAATGTACCCCTAGGCAAACCTATGCAAATGATATATAGTTATCTTGGGGTAAGAAAAATCTGTTAATATTTACTAGAGGAAATTACCCGGCGTTGTCTGGTTCAAATGAATAATGGTAAAAATGCAATGATATATAGTCATCCCTACTAAAAATAAACAAAGTCTATTATTTTTTAATAGAGGAAATTACCCGGCGTAGTCTGGAATCCCAGACCCGATCTATCTTAGGAATACAGAATAATATTTATAGTATGTAAATTCGAAGAATATATTATCGACAATATGTTTTGATTTTCTTAAACTTGAATTGCATTTTCGACAAATTGTTTCTATGAGAGTTTTATGAAATTGTGATCCAATATATATAATGGAAGCGGCAGCTTTATCAAGATAGCTGTACAGTAAACTAAGTTCCCATAGGTACAGACAGTGAAGCATGGTTTCAGCGACTTAGTTAAGCAATTTAAAAAATGAAGCTATGTTTTTAATAGGCTCTCGAGAGTGTCTGCTCCAATGCGTTGCAAGTTTAGAGAGCAACTTATAAAACCCCTTTGGCAAGGGTATACTATATTTTTGCTTCGTAATCTATGATATCCCAACTCACAAACACACACATACACACACACACATGCAATGCACTTAATCATAAATACAAAATATGAGCAGGCGCCAGTTTCAATTCAAGCGAAAGTTGCCTTCAGTTCCGTTCAGTTCGGTTGCCAATGCGGTCACAGTGCGTATGCGTAATGTGAGGTGGAATGTTGTTGCTGTTGCTGTTATTGTTGTTGTTGTTGCTGTTGGAGACGATGGACGTTGCCGATAAGCCAGGCGCGTAATGGATTTTTGTTTTGGCCTCACTGTTGGGCGTTTGTTGTTAGCTTTTATTTTCATTTTTTTTCGTTGGTTTTTTTTTTTTGTGGTGCAGCAGCAATTGCTGCTGCTGTTGACGATTTTGTAGCCCGCAGCAATGCGTCCCGCATGCCAAACTTGCGCTGTTGTTGCTGCCTTTAACTTGGTCGCGATAGTCAAAAAGCAAAAAAAAAAAAAACAAACAAAAAAAAGTAAAGAAAATAAACAAAAAGTCGGTCGTCAAATGATTAATTACATGCCGAAAAGCTATCTAACAATTTGACTCGCTGTCTGTGTGTATTTTGGATTGTCATTAAGCCAGGGCAAAAGGAGCACAGCAACAACAACAACAACAACAACAATAATAGCAACAACGAATAATAAAAAATTATGCCTCAGATAAAATGCCATTAGAGAGCGGCGCTCCAGTGTGCATGTGGGCACAGCCAGGCGGCAAGGGGGGAGTGGCAGGCGGGCAGCTCACTTAGCGCCATTAGAAGACAAGCACCCAGCGGCAGCAGCAGCAAAAGCAGCAGCAGCAGCAGCAGCAGCAGCAGCAAAAGCAGCAGCAGCAAAAGCAACCAACCAAAAAACGTTGCCAACAAAAGCAACAACAACAATTGCTGAGGCGAGGCCAGGCGCTGGGGTACTGCAAGTATGCAATTCTGCCAGATAAGCCGAAGCATTCATGAATTTTACAGATAAAAACCACACACACACACACACACACACAGAGTGAGCGAGTGAGATACATAGCTTGTAGATGCGCTTACAGTACATTGCACAGCAGCAACAACAGCAAATGAAGAGCGCCAAAAGTGAGCAGCAGCAACAACAACAACAGCAACAACAACAATCGCAAGGTTGCCTCGATGGGCGGCCACCTCCCTATTTAGGGCTGGGCAATCAGCAACAAACAAAGCCCGCAAAGTGCATGTAGGAATACGGCAGACGGGCGGGCGTGCACGACTAGCAATTGCTCAGTGTCAGTGATGTGAAACGAACAACGGCAATAAAATTATAAAATTTACAATGGTATCGAGTTGTACAAGTAAAAAAAATCGATGCGTGCACTATCGATAGTAATGCTGTTAAGATCGATATCATTATCGACAACTCTAGCGAAATAATGATTGATATAACTATCGGCCCGCTACTTGTACTCATTTTATTGATTTATTGATTTATCGAAAGCCTTATTATTATCGATTCCATAAACAAAAGTACTATCTTAAGCACATTTGATGACAATACGAATTGTAGTATCAAATAAATTTAATTGAAAGAGACAACCAAAGAGCTTACCATGGTATTATCGATATTATTAGTTAAGAAATTGTTAATTATTAATCGATAATTATTATATAGATAGTTTAATTTAATTGCCAGTGTTCGCTAAGCAATTGTAAGACAAATTCTACACGTGAAGAGCCTGTTCATTTGATGCATTGTAGATGTGTATTATCGAATTATTTGGTTATGCTGGCATTTTACAACACTGTGCTCAGTAAAGAGCTCGCTCTAGTTGTTATGCCCTTTCAGGTGTTTCACTCAGGTTAGAATTCAAGCGCACACACAAAAGCCGAAAGCAGTTATCGGACAAGTGGACACAGAAAGAGAGAGAGAGAAGGACAGAGAGAGATGGAGAGAGTAAACGAGAAGGCTGAAAGGAATGTGACTCTGCGCTTTGCCACACTTTTTTGTGGTTGTTATTGTTGTTGTTGTTGTTGTTGTTGCTAGATGGCTGCTCTGCTGCGTTGCCATGGAGTGTCAACAGCTAGATAAAGATTAGCGCAGACAAACGCCCACTTTTGGCGCGCTGTTACGCCCACTGGGCCACTCGTGCTGTCTCTCTGTGTGTGTGTGTGTGTGTGTTTTGTGTGTGACTGCTGCAAATCTTTCACTGACGCAGCACAAAAAGGCCACGTGGTAGGGCCTGAAGGCGGGCGAGGGACAACACCAATGCCTGCCGGCTGGGGGATTATTAATGATGAATGCTTGAGAAGGCAGCGAAATGGCGTGGAATGTGGCAGCAATCCACCCCCATCCCCGTTCCTCCCTCCAGCAAGCCAAACACCAGCAAAGGTCGCAGGTTGACCAGCGCCACACTCGAACATCATCATTATCATCATCATCAGCGGCAGGAGCAAGAACATCATTGAATGTGGTCGGGGTTCAGTTTAGGTTTAGGTTTAGGGTTAGAGTTGGGCTGCGTTGGGTTGGGGTGAACGTTGACATTGCTGATGATTATGAAGTGATATGAAATTGATGCCAATGATGATGCCAGCTAAGTCAAAACACGCACAACTTGACAGCACTTCAGCGCAGGGCGCGGCGGTTGCTTCATCATATCCTGTGCTGAGCCAAAAAAAAAATGTAACCAAAAGGGGTTGTCAACTCGCTGACTGGGGTTGGGCTGACAGAATTCGAGCCGGCAAAGGGTTCGACTCCACACAGTTGAGGTGTCAAAAACGCAACCGCAGTCGCAGCTTTAGCCCCGGGCAGGGTGCTGACTGGATTGTGACTTCAGCTTTTGGCTTTGCTCGACCAATCAACGCTTTTGGGCTTGCAGCCCTGCTGATAATAGAGGGAGAAAAAAAAATGAATATATATATAAATGGAGAGAGGAGCAGGAGAAATTGGTATTAAATTAGAAGGATGGCTCGCGCTGACACTGGATATGAGAGCAGATTAAATTTTTATTGGCAAAATATCAGCAGGCCAGCAGACGACAACTGCCGCACACGCAGACACAGACACACACACGCACACACACACATACACATCAAGCAATTTATGTTTGGCATTAACCGTTTTCGTGTCTGCCTCTGGGAAATGCGCTGCTGACTGCAAACTGATAACAGTTTTGGCTACTCGCAAAGGGTTAGAGCGGGGCCATGGGGCAGCTTGTGGCTTGGGGATTGTGGGGTGTGGTTGGGCTAGGTACAGTCAAGCGTCACACTCACCTCTGCTGTCGACGGTCATCTCTTCTGTGGTATCGGAACAATCACCTGCAGAGCAAAGGAAAGAGAGGGAGAAAGAGTGAGTGAGTGAGAAGGCAGTTGCAATGCACTTAGAAATTAAATTGCCTTATAAGGTTTACAAATTAAAAATGTAGTTGTGAAAATTACAAAAATTAAAATTACAAATAAATAAATAAATTGAATTAAAACATGTTTATATAAAAAGATTTCGTTCGAAAAAAAGCATAACTGCTTCTTTCTTTCCATCTTTAATTTTCAATACTGCTAGAGCAAAGCTTTGATTGAGTTTGTTTTCTTAATGTGCCCAGATCTAAGACAAAGTTGTAGCTATGCGATTTTGTTAAGTGCAGTGTTTTAGCGGGAAACTAGCTAAAACTGTGATAACTGCAGGCGGAAGATACAAAATCGAATGTAGTTTTTTTTTCCATGTTTCCCCCTATATACATGTTATTCATAATACAGAATAATTGCTTCAGGTGAAAACAATGTTTGCTCAATTGTTGTTGTTGTTGTTGTTGTTGTTTGCTGTTGTTGTTGGTGTTGCTGCTGCTCATATCGCCATCGCATCTGTTAAGTACGCACAACACACAACGCGCGTTTCAACGTAGTTCAGTAGTTGCCACAGTCGCAGTCGCAGTCGCAGCCCAGACGCAGGCGAAGACGAAGACCATGTCCAAGTCCAAGTCCAAGTTAGAGCTACACTCGTTGTTGTTGCTGTTGTTGTTGTTGTTTTCTCGTTTTGATTATATTTTGCTGATATTCACTTCAAGGAATTATAATAACAATAATAACAACAATCCGCAGAATTCCTCGTCGTTTTTTTTATTTCTCCTTCATTCGCCAGATTGTAGATATCACAGCCACATGTGTGTGTGTGTATCTGTGTGTGTGTGTGTGTGTGTGTGTGTGTGTGTGTGTGTGTGTCCAGGAATGAATGTGTAGCCACACAGCCGCAGATAGTCGACTGATAAGCAAAACCAAAAAGCTGCCTCAACTCTTTGGGGGTAAAAACCACTCGCTTGAGTTGCGCTGTCTGTCGCTGGAGACTCGAGCAGAGAGAGAGAGAGACAGGGATAGGAAAAGAGAGGGCAAGAGAGACAGGGAGAGAGCGGGCAAAAGAGAGAAGATAGGGAGAGTGGGCGAGAGAGATTTCACAGATCAGCCGCTGCTCACCTTTTGCTGCTGTTGTTGTTGTTGTCGAATGGCTGCTGATCATCTTGTTGTTAAATATCCAAAACAAAAAAAAAAAACAAGAGCCGTCGAGTGGGCGGGGGAGCGGTGTTTGCAAATTGAGGAGGGGGGAGGGGGGGTTGTGTGTTAGCTGCAAGTGTAAATTTATGTTTGCCCCGCACTTGCCACAATGTTGCACATGTTTAAGCCTTGGCTACACTCGCACACGCTCGCGACGCACAAATGATTGACGGATTGACTGATTGAGCGCGTTTTTCTATTTGTGATTGACGGAACACGGAGCCCGTTGCTGTTCGCTTCGCGTTCTAGAGCTAACTGAGCGCAGGCCAAGCGGCTGACTAATGAAATTTTCTGTCTGCGCGCCGAGTGTCTCGCTCGCTCTCTCTTCCTCTCTCTCCCTCTCTCTCTCTCTCTCTCTCTCTCTCTCACTCGTCTGTCTGTCTGTGTATCTGTGAGATACAAAAGTGAGATACCGAGCCCAGCCGAATGACGCTGACGACGTCGCAGCAGCGACGCCCGCGTCTCAGTCGCCGCGCACAGCTGATGTTTGTTGATGACTGCGCGCCCGCCAACCCGCTCGCCCCGCTCGAACCAATCGACCCGCTCGCCTTGGCTGCGTCTCTCTGGCTAAAGTTGTTTATCTTTCATTTGCCAGTCTGCCAGTTGCGTCTATCTGCAGCCCTATCTAGAGTCCGCCCGCCTGTCCGCCTGCCTAGCCAGGCAGTCCTATTCGAAGTCGCAGTCGTCTCTTGGATTCGTATCTGTATCCGACAAACACAGACACACACACACACACACACACACGCACAGACACAGACACGGTCGCCGGTTGAGTGGCAACTGAAATAAGATATCTGCTCGCGCTCTGCTCTCGTTGCTGCTGCTGCTGCTGCCGTCGCTTCCTTCGCCCAGCCGCAACGAACATCGTTCGAAATTATTCGAAACAAAAACTGATAAAGCACTGATAAGAGCGCAGCGCGGCGCGCAGTTAGATAACATCGAGCGAAGCAGCCAACCAGTTGGCGAGGCCAGCCGGCAAAGGCAGCCGAGTCAGCCAACCAGCAGCAAAACGGATACACACCAACACACATACACACACACATACACACACACACACACACAAATATACACACACAGTTGCAATTTTGAGCGCTGTGCGCTGTGCACTTACAGATACAGATACAAAGATACATTCAACAAAAGCGAACGCTGCTGTTGTTGTGCGTGTGTGTGCGTGAGTGTGCGCGTATGTGTGTGTGTGTGTGTGTGTGTACGCGTGTATGTGTGCTGGTAGATGCTTTTGTGCGATATCGCGTCGCACGGCTAATGGAATTCTGATTATTGCTTAGTGATAAGCGTTTTGTGTTTAATTGTATCTGTGTATCTGTATCTGTTTTTTTTTTAATACATTTTTTTTTGGGCACATACACTGCGAGAAACGCTTGACAAGCTTTATCTGTTTTTTTTTTATTGTTTTAATTGTTGTTTTATTTATTTTTCTTTGGTCGCACATACACTGCAAGAAACGCTTGCCAGCTTGCATGTGTTCTGTTTTAGTTTAATTTTTTTAATTTCTCTTTTATTTATTTATATTATTTTAGATCTTATGCACTGCGAGAAATGCTTGCCAAGCTGTATCTGTATGTGTTTTTTTTTTTTAAATATTTTTTTTAGTTTTTAATTTATTTACTTTTATTTTTATTTATTTTTGTGTGAAGAAACGTATGACAAGCATTTTGTGCTTTTCTTTTAAATTTTTCTCTTATTTATAGTTACTTTTGCGCTCTCATACACTGCAAGAAATGCCTGACAACTACTGCAGCCGCTGCAGCTGTTATCTCAAGCCTTTGGGCCTCGCAGCGTGCTTATTTCCTGGCACAACACCTGCCCCTATTCTCCATGTAACCCCCCCGCCAGACACCGCCCGCGCAATTTCCACATATTCCTCTGCGCCCCCCTGCGGGCTTTGTCGCTTTTCAGTTTTCATTGTGTTTATCAGCGAGCATTGATCTGTTTTAATGTTGCTTTGGCTGCCAGCGCCAGCCAACACTCCCTCGCCCAGCTCCCCTTTCCATGGGTTACACTCTCTCTCTCTCTTTCCTCTTGCTCTCCGCTCGCTCTCTCTAGTTTGTATCTCCTGCTTTTATCTGCATTTTGGTTTATTTCATTTCCTTGGCAGCTTTTCCAGATGCAAAACGTTTGCCAGATTTTATCTGTTTGCCTCACACACACACACACACACACACACTCCCACTCCCACTCCCTCTCTCTCTTTTTGCTCTCGGCTCTCAGTCAGCTGTTGGTTGCGTCGCTGCCTGCGTTGACTGCGCTCGCATGTTGCGCCTGCGTCGTAGCCAAGCGTTAAAACCACCAGCATCACCCCGCACCCCGGACCCCTCGTCTAGCCAACCCTTCTGGCCTTGCTATTGTTGTTGTTGTTGCTTTTGGACTGCCTTTGACGACGATTATCTCGTTTGCCATTGTTGACTTTTAATTAGATTCATTAAACGTGCCGCTTGCCGTCGCCGTCGAAGTCGCCGTCTACGTCGCTGACACCCTGCTTTCCCCCTGCAACCCTAATACCCATTCGGCCCATGGGCCCTGCCGGCAAAGACAAGAATCCTCGCACACTCTCACAGAGTCTCTAGCATTCATATAATTGTTTTGGCACGCCAAAACAAATAAGAACTAGAAGTTTATCTACTTTTGGATTAGAAAATTGGGAACGAAAATTTGCTTGAGGTGCATCGAATGATAAGCAAAAAATGTCATACGAAGATTTTCCGCCAATTTTCCACAATTGCGGGTGGAATTCTCAAAAAAAAAAACCGTTCACTTCCACTAAATAAAGTGAATATACTTAGCATAAATTAAGCGTAGATCATTAATCGATCATTCGATTGGGTGGGAAAAATAATTTTATGTTTATAGATAATGTCAGCGGAAGGGCATAACAGCTGCGACTTGCCTTAATTGTGTTTTCACGTTTTCTTGTTTTTTTTTTTGTTTCGAATACATTTTTACATTTGGTGGGTGTTTTTTTGAGTTTTATGCAGCGATAAACACTTCATGCGTGAATATCTGCAAAAGGTTTCTGATAAATGCGCTTAACATGGTAATTGTTGTTGTTGTTGCTGCTGGTTGTTGCTGTTGTTGTTAATGTTGTTGCTGTTGTTGTTGTTAATGTTGTTGTTGCTGTTTCTAGGGTGATGAACTATCAACAAGCCGAGTGGCAACAGTCGCTGCGGCTGCGGCAGCGGCTGCAACTGTTGCAGTTGCATTCAGCTCTGAGCAATTGTTTTGCAATTATGTTTATGTTAAGTACAGCTGTCTGTGCGAGTGTGCGAGTGTGTGTGTTGTGTGTGTGAGTGTGTGTGTGTGGCTATGTGTGTCATTGTTATTACGTGCTCATTTATTGGCATAAATATGTATGCAGCTAAATAAAGGCAGATCAACGTTTGCTGATAAATAAAGGCAACAGCCACGAAAACAGTTTACAAACAAAGTATTAAATAAAACTAGAAAACCGAAATGGCTGCGACTCACAGATACCCTATAAACATGGACATGATATTTTGTTACGCATCTATTCATATAGCATCTGTATTCGATTAAACGATATATATCGGTTCTCTGTGAGCCGTATTTTTGAAAGAACAAATGTACATATATATCGACTGGTACATAACCTATTTTTTGTACTGTACAGATGAAAGAGTGCGCTTAAAAGATCATATTTATATGTATATCGATTACATAGGTTACATAGACTAATTGATGTACCTTATTTATCTGTTTTTTCTAGAATGTATATACACCTTACACATATCTAATTT